TTAAGTGTTCTTCTTGTGTATTTAGCTATTATATATTCACTGTTTTCGTCCCATACATTAGTTGATTTCACACATTCTAGTTCATCAGAGTAATGGATGGCAGTGCCTCCTCCTGATTGGTCAGGCCTATAGTTATGTATGGCTGTGTAACCAGGCATGGGCCAGTAGGCCTTCTGCAGTGTTCCTCCATTCTTATGTTCTCATGTAAATATGTCTGTCAGATCTTGTCTGAGCCAGGTGTTAGTAAGTATAATGAAAGTTAAAGTAGCATTTAAAGACTTAAGTAGTGCAATGATGTCATCATAGTGTTTACTCAATGATCTAACATTGTAGTTGAAGACTGTAATGTTCTTGCCGACACTGAGAAGGGTATCAGCCTGACTAGCACTGTAGTAATGGCAATTACTGTTTGGACTGTGTGTGCTCTTCAAAAAGAGGTTGATATCAGGATCAATACTTACATTCATAAGTGGTACGTAGAGAAATAGCCGTTACAATTATTAAAGAACAAAAAGACCAAAGCAGTACAGTGGACCCCCGCATAACGATCACCTCCGAATGCGACCAATTATGTAAGTGTATTTATGTAAGTGCGTTTGTACGTGTATGTTTGGGGGTCTGAAATGGACTAATCTACTTCACAATATTCCTTATGGGAACAAATTCGGTCAGTACTGGCACCTGAACATACTTCTGGAGTGAAAAAATATCGTTAACCGGGGGTCCACTGTAATGTTAAACCAGCTAACAATTATGAACTTATGAACTAAGATAGTTAATTTAAATCTAAAAAATAATGGGGCTACTGAAAATTAAAATAAAAACTTTAGCACCTTGATTATTTCAAAGTTAAAAGTTATAGATGGGGTTGTAAAAGAAGTAAATGCTGGGATGTGGAGGAGAGGAGTGGGATTAAATTATGAGAAATCAAATACAAAATACTTAGGTAGTAGATTGGTAGACAACAACCGCCCAGGGAGGTACTACCGTCCTGCCAAGTGAGTGTAAAATGGAAGCCTGTAATTGTTTTACATGATGGTAGGATTTCTGGTGTCTTTTTCTGTCTCATAAACATGCAAGATTTCAGGTACGTCTTGCTACTTCTACTTACACTTAGGTCACACTACACATGCATGTACAAGCGTATATATACACACTCCTCTGGGTTTTCTTCTATTTTCTTAGTTCCTGTTCATCTCCTCCATAAGCCATGTGTGTTGTAAGAGGCGACTAACATGCCGGGAGCAAGGGGCTAGTAACCCCTTCTCTTGTATACATTACTGAAGTTAAAAAAAGAAGCTTGTTTTTCTTTTTTGGGCCACCCCGCCTCGGTGGGATACGACTGGTGTGTTGAAAGAAGCAGAAGAAATGCATAATGGGAGTTTACACGATTATTTTTTGCTGATGATACTGTGCTTTTGGGAGATTCTAAAGAGAAATTGCAAAGGTTAATGGACAGGTTTGGGAGGATGTGTAAAGGTAGAAAGTTGCACGCAAACATATATAAAAGTAAGGTGATGAAGGTATCAAATGAGTTAGGTAAAGAAAAACGGATATCACATTGGAGGGAGGGGAGTATGAAAGAAGTGAATGTGTTCAGATATTTGGGAGTCGACTTGTCAGTGGATGGGTTTATGAAAGATTAGGTTAACCATAGAATTGATGAAGGAAAAGAGGTGGGTGGTGTTTTGGGGTATCTGGAGACAAAAGACACTATACATGGAGGCAAAGAAGGGAATGTATAAGAGTATAGTGGTACCAACACTCTCATATGAGTGTGAAGCATAGGTTGTAAATGTTGCAGCGAGAAGGAGAATGGAGGAGTGGAGATGTTGCTTCTAAGTACAATGTGTGGTGTAAATATTATGCAAAGAATTCATAGTGTGGAAATTAGGACGAAGTGTGGAATTACTAGAAGCATTATTCAGAGGGCTGAGAAGGGGTTGTTTAGGCGGTGTGGTCATTTAGAGATTTTGTTTTTTTTCAACAAGTCGGCCATCTCCCACCGAGACAGGGTGACCCACCGAGGCAGGGTGACCCAAAAAGAAAGAAAATCCCCAAAAAGAAAATACTTTCGTCATTATTCAACACTTTCACCTCACTCACACATAATCACTGTTTTTGCAAAGGCACCCAGATACAACAGTTTAGAAGCATATACAGTGGACCCCCGGTTAACGATTTTAATCCGTGCAAGAGGGCTCATCGTTATGCGAAATAATCGTTATGCGAATGAATTTTCCCCATAAGAAATAATGGAAATAAAATTAATCCGTGCAAGACGCCCAAAAGTATGAAAAAATTTTTTTTTTACCACATGAAATGTTAATTTTAATACACACAAACTGAAAAAGGCATGCACAATTAAATGACACTTACTTTTATTGAAGATCTGGTGATGATTGATGGGATGGGAGGAGGGGAGAGAGTGTGTTAGTGTTTAGAAGGGGAATCCCCTTCCATTAGGACTTGAGGTAGTAAGTCCTTTTCTGGGGTTACTTCCCTTCTTTTAATGCCACTAGGGCCAGCTTCAGAGTCACTGGACTTCTTTCGCACAAGATATCTGTCCATAGTGGCCTGTACCTCTCGTTCCTTTATGACTTGCCTAAAGTGTTTCACAACATTGTCAGTGTAATAATCACCAGCACGGCTTGCAATAGCTGTGTGAGGGTGATTTTCATCCATGAAGGTTTGCACTTCAAGCCACTTTGCACAGATTTCCTTTATCTTTGTAGTAGGCAACTTCTTCAATTTCTCTCTCCCCTCCTCTGAACCAGTTTCTCAGGTCTGGCCTCTTGCTCTTGAAGTTGATCTATCAGCTCATCAGTGGTTAGTTCTTCATTGTCCTCCTCCACCAACTCTTCCACATCCTCCCCACTAACCTCCAACCCCAAGGACTTTCCCAATGCCACAATGGATTCCTCAACTGGCACAGGATTCTCAGGGTTAGCCTCAAACCCTTCAAAATCCCTTTTGTCTACACATTCTGGCCACAGTTTCTTCCAAGCAGAGTTCAAGGTCCTCTTAGTCACTTCCTCCCAAGCCTTACCTATAAGGTTTACACAATTGAGGATATTAAAGTGATCTCTCCAAAACTCTCTTAGAGTCAGTTGAGTTTCTGAGGTCATTACAAAGCACCTTTCAAACAGAGCTTTTGTGTACAGTTTCTTGAAGTTGGAAATAACCTGCTGGTCCATGGGCTGCAGGAGAGGAGTGGTATTAGGAGGCAAAAACTTCACCTTAATGAAGCTCATGTCCCCATAAAGTCGCTCTGCCACGTCTGTAGGATGACCAGGGGCATTGTCTAACACCAGGAGGCACTTAAGTTCTAATTTCTTTTCAGTTAGGTAATTTTTCACATTGGGGGCAAATGCATGGTGTAACCAGTTATAGAAAAATTCCCTAGTGACCCATGCCTTACTGTTTGCCCTCCACAGCACACACAAATTATCCTTGAGGACATTCTTTTGCCTGAACGCTCTGGGAGTTTCAGAGTGATACACTAATAAAGGCTTCACTTTGCAATCACCAGTAGCATTGGCACACATCAACAAAGTAAGCCTGTCTTTCATAGGCTTATGTCCTGGGAGTGCCTTTTCCTCCTGAGTAATGTAGGTCCTGCTTGGCATTTTCTTCCAGAACAGGCCTGTTTCATCACAATTAAACACTTGTTCAGGTTTCAGTCCTTCAGTTTCTATGTACTCCTTGAATTCCTGCACATATTTTTCAGCCGCTTTGTGGTCCGAACTGGCAGCCTCACCATGCCTTATCACACTATGGATGCCACTACGCTTCTTAAATCTCTCAAACCAACCTTTGCTGGCCTTAAATTCACTCACATCATCACTAGTTGCAGGCATTTTTTTTAATTAAATCCTCATGCAATTTCCTAGCCTTTTCACATATGATCGCTTGAGAGATGCTATCTCCTGCTATCTGTTTTTCATTTATCCACACCAATAAGAGTCTCTCAACATCTTCCATCACTTGCGATCTTTGTTTCGAAAACACAGTTGAACCTTTGGCAAGAACAGCTTCCTTGATTGTCTTTCTGTTGCCCACAATAGTAGCGATGGTTGATTGGGGTTTCTTGTACAGCTTGACTAGGTCGGCTATACGCACTCCACTTTCATACTTATCAATTATCTCTTTCTTCATCTCTATAGTAATTCTTACCCTTTGAGGTGTAGGGTTGGCACTAGAAGCTTTCTTGGGGCCCATGGTCACTTATTTTCCAGAAACAGCACCGAAAATACTGTAATAATACGAAATATTCCGAGTGTATGCTTGGATGTTACCGCGGAGGCTGGCTGGTAAACAATGGGACGGGGCGGCACATGTGAGGCTGGCTGAGGGCACATTGGACGCGTCTCGGACGAAAATCGGTAAGCGGGTTTTTAATCGGTATGCGCGGCAAAAATTTTGCGATAAAAGTAATCGTTATGCGGAAAAATCGCTATGTGATGCCATCGTTATGCGGGGGTCCACTGTATAAAGATATATAACATATCCCTCCAAACTGCCAATATCCAATAAATCTGTAGTGGAGGGGAGGAGGGGTAGGGGTTGGAGGGAGGGGATAAGAGGTTTTGTGTGCAAGGGGCTTGGATATACAGCAGGAATGTGTGAGCATATTAAACATGAGCGAATGGAGATGAATGGTTTTTGGGACTTGTCGAGGTGTTGGAGTGTGAGCAGGGTAATATTTTGTGAGGGAATTCAGAGAAAAACAAGTTAAAAGGACTAGAGTCCTTTAGATGGGAAGTACAGTACTTGTACTCTGAAGGATGGGTGAGAATGTTATGATTCAGTGGATCATCCAAACTGTGATGATTGTTCACTTCTAACAAGACAGCTATTGAATGAATGATAACTAATGTGTTTCTTTTTTTTCTCTGAGTCGCTCTCTACCTTTTAGGAGAGGCCAGGGTGTTAAAATTATTTGGTCTTAATTTTTGGGTAATAACGAGGGTTGTTCACTGCTGGCAATGGTGACTTACGGAAGGAACGTGTGACGGTTGCTCTCCTTGGGGTCGGAGAAGCGGGCTTGTCGTCCACGCTAACCATCCGCTGCTCGAATGTTTTTCTTCTCTCGGCAGCAATGACGCGACTGCTGTCACGCACGGTCAGTTGCTCCTGCAAAACCACAATCTATGTATAATTTACCTACAAAATGCTCTGTAAATGAGACATTACTTTCCACATTTCTCACCTGAGGTGGTGACCTAAGCCTATTTTCAATTTTTCTTAGGTTATTATTTTTCTTTAACACACCGGCCATATCCCACCTGGGCAGGGTAACCTAAAAAGAAAAACGAAAGTTTCTCTTTTTAAATTTAGTAATGTATACAGGAGAAGGGGTTACTAGCCTCTTGCTCCCGGCATTTTAGTCGCCTCATACGACATAGCTTATTTATTTATTTATTTATTATTATTTGGATATGATACATAGTTGTACAAAAGAAATACAGTGGCTGAGTGTACATGCCAAAAGCCCCGTGTATGCAGAGCATTATGGGCAGCTTAAAATTAACTTAAGATTAACTAAGCAATGATATACAGTGGAACCTCAAATATCAAACTGCTCCCAGCTCAACCAATTATGTAAGTATATTTTTGTAAGTGCTTTTATAAGTGTATTTTTGAGGGTCTGAAATGAACTAATCTAATTTACATTATTCTTGATGGGAATAAATTCATTCGGTAACGGCACTCAAACAGCCGTCTGGAACTAAGAAAGTTCGACATTTGAGGTTCCACTGTATTCAGTGGTAAAAATACAGTAAACAAATTACAACATGAAGTACAAATGAGTATTTCAATAAGAGGCTTTGTAGTTGTACATATTTGTGCCATTTTTGATGAGTTATTGAGCATTCAAGAGAATGGAGTATTCTATTAGGTAATGTAATTACAAAAAAACATAGTTTGATAGGGTCATAGGTTATACATTTACGAGATACAGTTAATCAGTACGGAGGAAGAATTCTTTTCCACTTCTCCATGGAGAATATTGTTATTAGTGGATCCTCGAATTTCATCATCCCTTTTCTGTATGTAAAGCTATAGGTTTTTTTTTTTTTCAACAAGTCGGCTGTCTCCCACCGAGGCAGGGTGACCCAAAAAAGAAAGAAAATCCCCAAAAAGAAAATACTTTCATCATTCAACACTTTCACCACACTCACACATTATCACTGTTTTTGCAGAGGTGCTCAGAATACAACAGTTTAGAAGCATATACGTATAAAGATACACAACATATCCGTCCAAACTGCCAATATCCCAAACCACTCCTTTAAAGTGCAGGCATTGTACTTCCCATTTCCAGGACTCAAGTCCGACTATATGAAAAAAACTATAGTTATTCTGTAATAATGTTGGTAGAATTACCGACAATATGTAAAGTAAAAGGACACAAGTGCAACTAATGTGACATTTTATTGTGGCAACGTTTCGCTCTCCAGGAGCTTTGTCAAGCCGTTACAAACAATACCCTCTGTGTCCATGTATTGTTTGTAATGGCTTGACAAAGCTCCTGGAGAGCGAAACGTTGCCACAATAAATGTCACATTAGTTGCACTTGTGTCCTTTTACTTTACATATTGTCGGTAATTCTACCAACATTATTACAGAATAACTATAGTTTTTTTCATATAGTCGGACTTGAGTCCTGGAAATGGGAAGTACAATGCCTGCACTTTAAAGGAGTGGTTTGGGATATTGGCAGTTTGGACGGATATGTTGTGTATCTTTATACGTATATGCTTCTAAACTGTTGTATTCTGAGCACCTCTGCAAAAACAGTGATTATGTGTGAGTGTGGTGAAAGTGTTGAATGATGATGAAAGCATTTTCTTTTTGGGGATTTTCTTTCTTTTTTGGGTCACCCTGCCTCGGTGGGTCACCCTGCCTCGGTGGGAGACGGCCGACTTGTTGAAAAAAAAAAAAAAACCTACAGCTTTACATACAGAAAAGGGATGATGAAATTCGAGGGTCTGTATTATACTGAAAAGAGGGCACGTCATATGGACAATATCCAGCTCATTCTTAACGAGAACATCTTCCGTTTATCTCATATTCCCGTGTAACGCTATATTTTAAGCATTTCAGGCAGAGTAATACTAATGTTTACACGCTACTTAAAACTAGTTATAGGTTATGGAGAGGTCAATTTGATTTTTTTATTATTTTACATTATTACAATAATAATTCAAATCTACCACTCCAATGGAAATAAGTCACTTTGTCTGACTTTTTTGGGTTATCCCAGGTTATCCCAGGTTCTCTACACATATGCTGCTATGTATGATAATTCTATGTAACTGTATTTGTGTATACCTGAAAAAACTTACTTGTGTCTAGTTTTAATTATTTTGGAAACATATTACCAGTCTTCCAGAAATGTTAATGCACGTTAGTGACTTTCTTTGTACTTAATACGTTATAACATATAAACTATATTTTTATACAGGAAGCCCTTGACTTATAAACACGCTGATAAAGCTCCTGGAGAGCGAAACGTTGCCACAATAAAAATATCACATTAGTTGCACTTGTGTCCTTTTACTTTACAGAATCTTCTCTACTGTGTACAGTGGAACCTCAAAAATCGAACTTAATTCGTTCCAGGAGTTAGTTCTAAATTCGAAAAGTCTGAAATTCGAAGCAATATTTCCCATAAGAAATAATGGAAATACAATTAATCCGTTCCAGAAACCCAAAAATATTCACACAAAAAATACATTTTATAGAGATTAATTACAGTTTTACATACAACAAATACTATAGTTTTTAATTATGTGTAGTAATACATATAAAATAATATTTTTACTTACCTTTATTGAAGATTGGTGATGGCATCTGGGAAAATAGGGAGGAGGAGAGAGGGATTTTGGGGGTTTTGTTTGGAAGGGGAAATCCCCCTCCATGAGGACTTCAGGTAAATCCTTCTCTGGGGTCACTTCCCTTCTCTGTCTTTTAATGCCTCTAGGACCAGCTTGAGAGTCACTGGACCCCTGTCTCACAAAATAACTGTCCACAGTCCTCTGTTTCTGGTGCCTCTTTAACATTTCCCTAAAATGGGACATGGTTCTGTCACTGAACTTGTTGCTAAGATGGCTTGTTTCAGCTTGCTCAGGGTGGTACTTCTGCACAAACATTTGGACATCATTCCACTTGGCACAAATCTCCTTAATCTTTGAAGAAGGCACTTCATCCACTCCCTCTTCCTCCTCCTCTGAAGTAAGTTCCTCAGCTGTGGTCTGATACTGCTCCAGATGAAGCTCTTGGAGCTCTTTAGTGGTTAGCTCTTCCCTGTGGTCCTCCACCAACTCTTCCACATCCTCACCACTCACCTCCAACCCCAGGGTGTTCCCCAATGCCACAATAGAGTCCACAACAGGCAGAGGGTGAGCTGGGTCAGGGTCAGGGTCAGCCTCAAACCCTTCAAAATCCCTCTTTTGGACACAATCTGGCCACAATTGTCTCCAAGCAGAGTTCAAAGTCCTGGAAGTCACTCCCTCCCAAGCCTTACCTTTTTGGTTAGCATATTAACACCTTTAGCAACTTCAGCTTCCTTGATTTGTTCTTTCTTTGCCAGGATAGAACCGATGGTCAACTTGTTTTTCCCATACATCCTGGCAAGCTCAACAAGTCTCACACCACTCTCATACTTCTGTATTATTTCCTTCTTCACATCTATGGTGTTTCTCTCTTTCTTTACCACAGGGGTACCACTAGCAAGTTTCTTTGGGCCCATGGCAGCTTATTTCACAGTTCCACAAGCACTAAACACAACGAAATAATCGTAAAATGCGTGAATGAGAGCGCAGGTTAGTGTTCACTCAAGCATAAACAAAGACTGCTCACGGCCCCTGTGCGGGGACGCAGACAGAGCGAGTGGCAGACAGGTCCCGTACCCGGCGGTCCGAAAATAGAGGCGCGTTCGATAATAGGGACACAGCTTGTCTGAAAAAATGGCCCTATTTTTGAAACGTTCGATATGTGATATGTTCGATTTTTGAGGTTCCACTGTATATCATTATTATATCATTACTGAGTATAATATCATTATTATATCATTATTATGCACAGTTCAAGGGGTCCCCAATCTGTTCGTAAGTCGAGGACTTACATGTACCGTACTGCACAAAAAGCAAAATGTTTTGTTTTATTTTTTCATGCAGGAAATACATTATTATTATAATCAAAAAGAAGCGCTAAGCCACAAGGGCTATACAGAGCTAGACCCGGGTACTCACCCCAACATTCTCTTTCTCCTCTTCCTGTATGGTCTTCTCCTGCCTCACTTCCTCCCATCTCCGCTCCACCATCTTCTCGTCCATGGAGACGGAGCGTGACTCGAAGGCCTTCCTGATGGAGGCCAGCTTGGAGCTGCCATCTTCATCTGTCTCCTCCACCATCTCCTACCGAAGGTAGACATTTCTCTACAGAACTCGTCCTAGTCTAATGTCATGGGGGTTTGTAAAAGGGGAGATGAGAGCGAGGAAAACACCAATGGCTAAGCATGTGATGTCATGGCTTGGCAAGGAAGCATGACTATAAATAGTACACTAATTCCCCCACATCTGCAGGGATATGTTCCAAGACCTGCAGTGGATGCCTGAAACTGTGGATAGTAGCAAACGTTATATACAGTGGACCCCCGCATAACGATTACCTCCGAATGCGACCAATTATGTAAGTGTATTTATGTAAGTGCGTTTGTACATGTATGTTTGGGGGTCTGAAATGGACTAATCTACTTCACAATATTCCTTATGGGAACAAATTCGGTCAGTACTGGCACCTGAACATACTTCTGGAGTGAAAAAATATCGTTAACCGGGGGTCCACTGTATAAGCTATTTTTCATTTACATACACAATTATGATGAAGTTTAACCCGTAAACGGTCTAAACGTACATATACGCTTTTTCAACATTTGAAAGTATGTAAAAAAAGTAGATTTTCCACTTTGTTTTTTTTTTTACATTTGAAAATGTGTAAAAAAAACTTTGATCTACTTTTGTAGCGCTACAGATCTGCCTGGACCGTTTATGGGTTAATTGATAAATTATAGAAATTAAGTCTAGAATTATCACTTTTTCACTGACGGGAAGCACTTCACAGCTTCTCTTAGGCTTTGAACAACTGCCACCGTCACTTCTTTTGCACTTTGGGGCTGTCATTTAGTAAAATTAAGGGTTATTTTCGAGCCACGGTAAACCGTGGATAACTGAAGCCACGGATACCAAATCCATGAATACAGGGGTTCTGTTGTACTAGGAATTATACATATACTAGACAAGTAATACTGTTGAAACTAAGATACAGTTAAAACTAAGATAGAGTTAAAAGGGGGGGGCATAGCATGCCCGGGAAAAAAGGGAGACAGTCAGCTCTGATCAAAGGGAGAAGAGGGGAGGGTAGCTCCCATTTTTCAAATGAAGAGTCCTTAATTATCAAAAAGCTACTTTTGTGTGATATTTTGTATATGGAATTGAAAAAAAGTGCATTGAAAAATGAACAGCGAGTGGAAAGGCCTTCATAGATGACGAAACTAAATTTTAATGTGCTTTTTTAATCGCTTTTGCAAAAAAATAACACCACATCGAAGAGTTTTATAAGAGAACTGACTGTATATAGCGAAGCTTTATTAGCAGCCGACTGCTGACAAAATAAATCACTTATACATTTGTACACCATGGCGTATTTTTATATATAAAATAACGTACCGGTAATTTATAACCACTACAAAAGTAATGATTTGCAAATCAGATGATTAGATTAGATGTACAGTAATTCTATATTGATATTCAAAACTCTGCTAGTAATAATTGATCAAAAAAAAATAATTCTATTGAAAAGTAATAATTTTTAAAGGTAAAAGGAGAAGAACATGAAGATTTCAATTAATAAATGAGTTAATTTAATAAATGGGTTAATTTAATAAATGGGTTAATTTAATAAATGGGTTAATTTAACTACCAGGAGAATAGTGTGTTGTGAGCAGCCTAGAGGGGATGAGGGGAGACAATGATCTCTGCTGTTTGTTGCCATTTCACCGAGGGCATACAACATGTGTGAGTTGATAACGCCCGTGTTCAACACCTGAGCCATCTTTCCTGCATGCCAGTATTATTTACAGTTCATTTAATGATCACCCTGCTGGTCAACACCTCAAGTGTGTACGGTCTGTGGAGAAGTTACTCCTTCCCTCCACAAACTGTGGCTCAGTTGTGCATTCTCCCGGCCACAGTGCTGTGGATTTACAGTGGACCCCCGGTTTACGATCAGCTCCCAATGCGACCAATTATGTAAGTGTATTTATGTAAGTGCGTTTGTACGTGTATGTTTGGGGGTCTGAAATGGATTAATCTACTTCACAATATTCCTTATGGGAACAAATTCATTCAGTACTGGGACCTGAACATACTTCTGGAATGAAATAATATCGTAAACCGGGGGTCCAGTGTATATCCCTCTGGTACAGTAAACTCTCTTATAAGGCTCCTCTTTCTAACGTGATTTGCCTTTTTGCAAGTGCAAAGTTTATCCATAACTGAATAGCGCATACTGTGCCCGCAATGCTTAGGCACGCTAGTGGCCTTCTTTGTAATTAATATTTTATAATATTGTAAACTTTGCAAGGAAATAAATATTCAATTTCATTTTATTTCTTCAAGCGATATTAAATTCCGGACGTACAGCTAAATCTCTCGTTAAGTGGACTAATACAAGGGGGAATATGATGCCGACCATCCACAACACCTGAATCACGCAATTAATATTTCATAATTGTCTGCTCGCCTTGTAAGGTAGTGAACATAAGTCTGCTGTTGTAGACGACAACCTCGCACTAAGAACATGGGTACTGTGACCTGTAGTACTACAGTACACTAAATTTGTAGTATTCTATGTAATTAATGGCAATTTGACTTACCTTTTGTGGTGGAGAGATGATGTAAATTGATGTGAATGTTAGTGGTGACTCAGGGTAGCTTATGTTATTAGTATGAAGAGTTGTGAAGCTTGTGGTGAATCAGGGAAACTTACATTCTTGTGAGATTCTTTGTACAACTATGTATCATGCCCAAATAAAAAATAAATACGTAAATAAATAAATAAATAAATGAGCTGTTAAGCTCTACTGTTGGAGAATTATCAGAGTTAGTAGACTTGGTCTGATACCTCAGAAGACAACCAGACTAGAGACAAAATATGGAATTACGCACTTTTCTCAGTTTTGTCCAACAATCAGAATGTTTTTTCCGGCCAATTTTTTTCTGTCCGAAATTGCCAAGACACGTCAACGAAAGTTTCATTAATAATGTGAGGTTTTACTGTACGTTTTACAAATGCACTCACAAAAAAAAAAAAAAAGAATATAAAGAGGCACCTTATAACAGCTAACTGAAGCAAGCCACAAACAGTATAGCTGCTCCTTGACTTACAATGGTTTGACTGACTCAAGAAATCGTAATGACACGATTGCAAATAAACCATACCCCCGGCCGGGATTGAACCCGCGGTCATAGAGTCTCAAAACTCCAGCCCGTCGCGCTAGCCACTAGACCAGCTAGCCACAATAAGATTCATCCAACTAGGTATATTTCTACACCATAGGAAAGTTAGCCAGGCACCTCTGTGACCACAAATGCAAGTTTTTACAGACGAATCTCCAGCTAGCGTGCCGTGACGAACTCTAGCTCAGTCCCTTCACTGCCGTCAACATGACTCAAGAAACGTAATGACACGATGCAAATAAACCATACCCCGGCCGGGATTGAACCCGCGGTCATAGAGTCATTTGCAATCGTGTCATTACGATTTCTTGAGTCATGTTGACGGCAGTGAAGGGACTTGAGCTAGAGTTCGTCACGGCCACGCTAGCTGGAGATTCGTCTGTAAAAACTTGCATTTGTGGTCACAGAGGTGCCTGTGCTGACTTTCCTATGGTGTAGAAATATACCTAGTTGGATGAATCTTATTGTGGCTAGCTGGTCTAGTGGCTAACGCGACGGGCTGGAGTTTTGAGACTCTATGACCGCGGGTTCAATCCCGGCCGGGGGTATGGTTTTAATGGTTTGACTTATGATATTTTGACTTTATGACAGTACACAGATAACTCGCACATAGGAGAGAGGAGCTTATGATGACATTTCGGTCCAACTTGGACCATTTACAGTGTGCGACTTTGTAAATGGTCCAAGTCGGACGGCAACGTTGTGTTACACTCCTCTCTCCTATGTGTGAGTTATTTGTGTATTGTTCTAGTCACGGTATTGTGACTTTTTGTTATTTATGACAGAGATGAAACTTAAGATTATTACCCAACATGAAGATAAGTCCGTAACTTAAGATTATTACCCAACACAAAGATAAGTCCGTAACTTAAGATTATTACCCAACACAAAGATAAGTCCGTAACTTAAGATTATTACCCAACATGAAGATAAGTCCGTAACTTAAGATTATTACCCAACACAAAGATAAGTCCGTAACTTAAGATTATTACCCAACATGAAGATAAGTCCGTAACTTAAGATTATTACCCAACATGAAGATAAGTCCGTAACTTAAGATTATTACCCAACATGAAGATAAGTCCGTAACTTAAGATTATTACCCAACATGAAGATAAGTCCGTAACTTGTATTCATTTATTTACTTGACAATACTGGTATTTAGTTATAGTAATTATTTATTTACTCAGTGACAGTTACACCTACCATCCGACTTACGACCGAGTTCGGGTCCGAGAAACCGGTCGTGAGTCGAACTTTACTACTGAATATCAACAAAACATTTTTGTAATGACTTTATTTTATTGTTTTATTTTGGTATTTCATGTTTTACTTCACATGTTGTTAGTACTGTATTTTATACTGTAAGGTTTAGGATAAACACTGTGTACAACACAAATACTTGTTTATTTCCCAGAAATTTGGCATAAAAAACATGGTCGTAAGTCGAGTGGTCGTAAGTCGGATGGTAGGTGTATTTATTTTCTTATTTATTTAGCGTATTATATTCATACTCGACTTATGATGTGTTTGTCAGAACGTAACCCCATTCTAAGTCAAGGAGCACCTATATATCTTTTATTCTTGTATACCATACCAGCATACCCTGAATATGCTCAAGCGGGTATAACAAGCTCTAGGAAATACAACCAAAACCACAAACATCTGTGGCATAGCCTGGCGACAAAGAGGTGAAATACATATACACAGTTTTAAGATGAGGTACAATAAAGCTCTTGGAGCAGGGAAAGAGTGGATATAGTAGTGACTAGTGAAAATGAGGGGCCAGGAGCTGTGAATTGACCCTGGCAACCACAAGCGAGAACGTACACACACATACGCATGCGTGCACACGCATTCCTAGAGAAGCACAGAACCCGTAGGGAACATACGGCTGCTGGGAATGGCAGGCTGACGGATTTGATCCCAGGGAGGCTCTAATTCCCTGGACCAAGAGCACTTCACCAGCATCAAGGCCACCCCATCTGACGAATTTACAAGCTAAACTACCTAATTCTTCTCAACCTTCACAAACAAGATGAAGCCGACCAGATAATGAGCAGCAGCAGCAGCAGCAGCATGCAGCAGCAGCAGCAGCAGCAGCAGCATGCAGCATGCAGCAGCAGCAGCAGCATGCAGCAGCAGCAGCAGCAGCAGCAGCAGCAGCAGCATGCAGCAGCAGCAGCAGCAGGCAGCAGCAGCAGCAGCAGCAGCAGCATGCAGCAGCAGCATGCAGCAGCAGCATGCAGCAGCAGCATGCAGCAGCAGCAGCAGCAGCAGCAGCAGCAGCATGCAGCAGCAGCAGCAGCATGCAGCAGCAGTAGCAGCAGCATGCAGCAGCATGCAGCAGCAGCAGCAGCAGCAGCAGCATGCAGCAGCAGCAGCATGCAGCAGCAGCAGCAGCAGCAGCAGCAGGAGCAGGGAGCAGCAGCATGCAGCAGCAGCAGCAGCAGCATGCAGCAGCAGCAGCAGCAGCAGCAGCAGCATGCAGCAGCAGCAGCAGCATGCAGCAGCAGCAGCAGCATGCAGCAGCAGCAAGCAGCAGCAGCAGCAGCATGCAGCAGCAGCAGCAAGCAGCAGCAGCAGCAGCAGCAGCAGCAGCAGCAGCAGCACGCAGCATGGCATGCAGCAGCAGCAGCAGCAGCAGCAGCAGCAGCATGCAGCAGCGCAAGCAGCATGCAGCAGCACGCAGCATGCAGCAGCGCAGCAGCAGCAGCAGCAGTCAGCAGCAGCAGCAGCAGCAGCAGCAGCAGCAGCAGCAGCATGCAGCAGCAGCAGCAGCAGCAATGCAGCAGCAGAAATGCAGCAGCAGCATCCCAGCAGCAGCAGCAGCAGCAGCAGCAGCAGCAGCCAGCAGCAGCATGCAGAAGCATGCAGCAGCAGCAGCAGCAGCAAAAATAAAGATGGCAGTAATTAATAATAAATTTTTAACCATTTAGTTACATAGTTGTAATTAAGACATGCAACCCGGCCTATTATTATTATTCGTGGGGAAGCCCTAAACCCGGAGGGGTCGCACTGCACCCAGGGAATGGGAGACAATGCGGCTCACTCCAAGGAAGGGAGAGAGCAGCTTCTATTCCTTGGATCTAGAGCCCATGAATATGGTTACCAGAAAAAATTCACTTGGATGGATTTTGCTCGAAATGGAGCTGTTTAGAGGAGCTCAAAACTCTATAATAAGGGCTTGCCCTGTAGAGCTTCAGTTAGAGTAAAATGAAGCTCTATGAATAAAGATTTTCCTTTCAGAGCTCTTTTAGAGCAAAGAAAGCTCTATGAATAAGGATTTGGCCTTCAGAGCTCTATTTCGAACAAAAAAGCTCTGTAATTAGGAGAATGCCCAGCAGCTAGTCTTTAGAGCAAATCAAAGTGCTGTAAGAAAAGAGTGAGCTCTGGGGGCTAGTCTTTCCACCGTGCTCGATGACTAAGTCTTATCCCTCAGTCTTACCGTCAGACTTGACAGTAAAGTCTCGAGTTTTGACTCGCCAAGAAAACCCTACAACACAGCTGTTGCGCCATCTCGAAAATTTCCCGCTCGATTTAGAGCAGGAAATGATCAACTTACCATTAAGGGTCAGCACTAAACCCCCAGGGGTCATAAAGCCAGGGGCACGGGTAAAACTGGTTAGGAAAGCCTACCTGAGTCTCTTCTTTAGCCTCGTAAGTTTTGCGCAGCTGAGAGATGCTTATACCCCGAGGTTTCGTCTCCTCCTCGGACTCTATGCACTTGCCACCTACACTGCCGTCGGTTTCCTGAATGCACAGAGTTGCAATTTTGTCGATGTGTAAAAAATTTAACCATCTACACATCCTGAGTGCACATTGCAATGTTGGCAGTGTGTAAAAAATTCAACCGTCTACACATCCTGAGTACACATTGCAATGTTGTTGATGTGTGAAAAATTCAACCGTCTACACATCAAACAAGTTTCCCTATCGAGGTGGACAGTGACAGAGAAAAATTAAGCTAAGTTTCTACAAGTCTCAATCTTTGCCCTTCGACTGAGAATGATTCTAAATATTTTTAAGCACGTCTAACGATATATATATACTGCATATATCTTCCTTCAACAAACTGGCCGTATCCCGCCAAGGCAGGGTGGTCCAATAGGAAAACCTAAAGTAATATATACAGAAGGGGTTACTAGCCCCTGGCATTTTAGCCGCCTCTTACGCATGACTTACAAAGGAAGAATTCATTACATACATACATATACATCTACACATCCTGGGGCTGTTACACAGCTACCTAACTGATGCTTTATATAAACAACAAGACTACACTATAAGTGCTGCTACAGTGAACCCTTGATTTAACGGCCTAAAAGGGGATGAGAGAGTGTCCTTCAAAACTGATCGTCTGTTCAAGCCAAATTTGGATTTTGTGAATAATTATTATATATTATTAAAGTTCTCAGAATGCAGTCACCTCTCTTATAACGTTCCTCCATAAGGTGTGATTTTTTTGCATGTGTAAATGAAAAAGTGTATGTAAAATTAAACAGTACATTTGTACAGTACGTTTGTAATATATACATGTACAGTGGACCCCTGCATAACGATCACCTCCCAATGCGACCAATTATGTAAGTGTATTTATGTAAGTGCGTTTGTACGTGTATGTTTGGGGGTCTGAAATGGACTAATCTACTTCACAATATTCCTTATGGGAACAAATTCGGTCAGTACTGGCACCTGAACATACTTCTGGAGTGAAAAAATATCGTTAACCGGGGGTCCACTGTATTATTCAATTACAAATTGACTTTTTCAATTGCATTTTAGAAAAAAAAACTGCACTATAGAGAGGAACTTTATATAAGAGGCAACTGTACAGGAATATTTTTCCACGAGCATGACAAAAAGAGACAATTCTGAGTTTATGTACTCAAGCTTCTAAATATCTGGCCACAGACTTAGTCTATTAAAAGCAAAACCTGCCACACTGGGGTCCGTTAAATCGGAGTTTTACCATACAGAATGAAAGGGGCATGCAACGAGTCGTCACTTGCCTCTTTGTTTGTCTCAAAATTTTTACGGAGCTGCGCCAGGTTGTTCTTAACAGGGGCGTCAGCTGAGGGGTCGTCCTCGTTAGTGAGGTTTTTGTTTTCCTGCAGGGGAAAGCTGGAACGCACAGCGGGCTTGGGCATTGGGCTCGGCTTAGCAGGCATGAAGCTGGGCTGTAATGTGGGGAGGCGTCATTCAGACTCCAGAGAGGTAGAAGGTTAGACAAGGAGAATGTCATCATTCACACGCTAAAAAAGTAGAAGGTAAGACAAGGAGAATGTCATCATTCAGATTCCAGGGAGGTAGGAGGTTAGACAAGGAGAATGTCATCATTTAGACGCTAGAAAGATAGAAGGTTAGACAAGGAGAATGTCATCATTCAGACTTAAGGCAAGAGGAGGGTCAGGCAACAAAAAAGCAAGAAAAATGGCAGCAGTCGTCCTTAAAGTCAAAAAGCTCTTGTAGCTAACGTCAGTGGAGTGCTGACACTAACAGGGAAAAGACGCTGCAAAACTACCATTGGAACTAACACTTTTGTTTTGTACAGAGCTCTACCGTGACTCAATAAGAGCTCTACTGTGACTCAATAAGGGCTCTACACAGAGCAAAGTGTCCTTGCCTACTTGTTTCTTCTATACGTAATACCTAAATTTGTTGTTTGTATGTCCTTAATGTTCTTATATACAAGCAAATAATGCTGTATCTCGCTGCTTATAAGACTTGTTTTAGTTTCAATGGCTCGGCATCGGACGTAACTGGAAGAGCTACAGCCCACGTCACACCCCAAACTTATAGCTCCTGTCACTGACCTTCAGTTTATAGGACGCAGGTTGGTTTTTGGAGACATTTTATAGAAAAAAAACATGTGTCTAATAAGCCGCGAAATACGGTAATTACTGCCATGTTAGTCTTAAGTTAGGATTGTCTGTGCGAAATACTTTACATAACTATGGCCTTTCTGCATGTATGACTAAATGTCACCCATCTCTGTACAAACATTGTATCACGTTGATTGATTTATTTTTTTATTAACACGTCGGCCATTCCCCACCAAGGCAGGGTGACCCGAAAAAGAAGAAACACTGTCACCATCATTCATTCCATCAATGTCTTGCCAGAGACACGCCTACTCTGCGTAACTTAACTCTGCGTAACTATAGGCTTTCTGCATGTACAACTGTCAGCCATCTCTATAAACACTGTATCATGTGAAAATATATCTTTGAATCAATGCCTGTCCCACAATCTCTCTCTCTCTCTCTCTCTCTTTCTCCCCATCACCAATTAAAAGAAACAAGTGTAGAATAGGAAAATTGGAGAAAGGATAGAATAAGAAAATTGATTAATTTATGCCAATTAGAGTTAGAGCAAGAAAACAAATGTCATTTACACTGATGTCAAAACAAGGCCATTTATGACATCAAAAACAGAGTCATTTACACCGACATCAACACAGGGTCATTTACACTGACAATACAGGATCATTTCCACAGACATCAATACAGGGTCATTTACACTAATACAGGATCATTTACACTGAATGACAACAAAAACAGTCAATCAAAGTATAGTGTAACCAACAAGTGCTAAAAAATATAAACACGACAAAATGAAACCCTTACTAGTGCGACATCTCACCTACCCGAGCCTTTATTGATAAATGAATCATCAAAATATGAGTTTTTATCGATAAGTCGTAATCGATAAATAAAGCCTCAAGTGGGTGAACCGTCCCAGTAACTCAGGTTAAATTCTGCTATACAGTCAGCTTTTTTACAGATAAAGCTTCTCAAGTGTAATTTTTTTTTTTGCAAATGCGACTGAAAAAAGTACGACGATAAGATGCTTGTGCAACATCTGGGTATCTTCATTCTGCAAATGTTTCACTAGCCAGTGGCTGCTTCAGTCTAATGCAGATAATGGTGGAAGATATGGAAGAGTTTGGGGTAATCAGTCCCTCAACCTGGAGTCAGTGTGATCTGTCCATTGGACTGAAGAAGCTACTGGCGAAATGTTTCCAGAATAAAGATAAATAAGTGTTCCACAAGTGTCTTATTTATCAACTTATCAGTTTTATAAAGCATTTATTAAAAAAAGTACAGTGGACCCCCGCTTTACGATCAGCTCCCAATGTGACCAATTATACAAGTGTATTTATGTAAGTGCGTTTGTACGTGTATGTTTGGGGGTCTGAAATGGACTAATCTAATTCACAATATTCCTTATGTGAACAAATTCATTCAGTACTGGCACCTGAACATACTTCTGGAATGAAATAATATCGTAAGCCGGGGGTCCACTGTACATTGAAAATTGAATGGCTCATGGAAAGGGTTTCATAGGAAGCGACATCCAATTCTGAATGACCTTTTTCCATCGCATTTACAACAACAATGAAAATCTACATAGAGGAGGTTGATAGGAGAGCTGACTGCGTGTTTTTAATGACGTCAGGAAAGATAAAAACACGGTTATAGAGAAGTTGGACTAGTTTTGCTTACACACTTGAGGAAGACTAACTACAATAATTCACAACCCACAAAACCATGGCTACAACAATTTGTAACCCACAATACCATGACTACAACAATATGTAACCCATAATACCATGGCTACAACAATTTACAATTAATCCACAATTAAGGAGAGGAAAGTCTAGACATTTCAATCTGTCCCAGCCCCCTGTTAATTTGAAACCAGATGAAATTACTCCTGTAAACTGTGGGTTAGTTGTGTATTTTAAGTTGGTTATACACAGGTTGGACTAAGATGTTTCTGACCATCTTAGTCCACCCTGTAAGTTGCTAAGAGTTCTACGAGACACACAGAGGAAAAATGAAAACGAAATTCAGTACAATAAGACTGACAGTAAGGGAATGCAAGCAAAAACAAAAGAACATCAACAATAATGCACTAAACAAAAATGTGACACGTCACTAGTCTATGGGCCAGGGGAACTGCTGCATTGTAACACTGACGCGGTAAATTCTTGAGTTATAAACACACTGAGGACCTTCTGTATTGCGTATAATAATGATATATGTACACATTAATGATAAAATACACTATATAGAAAATTCGCAACATGCTTGTAAGTCGAGTGTTTACTGTAACAGTAAATAAGCCGCACTATATCACGAAGAATAGTCACAATGCCGTGGCTGGAGCAATTCAATAAGCATCCGCACTTACCAGAGGAACCTTATGACAATATTTAGGCCTGTCTTGGGTAACTGTCAAGTCACAACTGAGCCAGAGCAGCAAAGGTCAGAAGACAGTGGCCCAGGATAGACCTAAACCTCATCACAAGGATCTAAAGCATGGATGCTTTGTGAACCATCTATATTAATCGTCTAAAACAAGAAGCAAGATGGTGCTCAAAAATATTTGAAACAACTCAATACGCTGCTAAAAAAATTAAGTACTGTTTGTGGGTAATAAAACAAAAGGTAAGATGGTGCTCAAAATTATTCATAATAAAACCCATATTTTACAGCATATAAAGCAATTTTTTCCACACAAAAAGTTTTGGAAAATCAGCCAGTGTCTTGTATGTTCAAGCGAGGGTCAAGGGTAGGCTTTGTGTTAGGCCTTAGCAGCTATTTACTAACATCGCCTCACGTGTCTTATATGCTGGAAAATACAGTAACTCAATACGCCACTAAGAAAAATTAAAAATTGTTTGCAACGAAACACTGTTGCAAGACTCTGTACACACTAGTGTCAAAGTGCGGTGATATCACACGACAAAATAAAGGAGAATAAACATACAAATAATTCAGAAGTGAGCCCCAAGCTGCATATGAACCTTCAATGTTTCAGTCTACCCTAGACCATCCTCAAATCACTTAATATTGGGCCATGATGGACCAAAATGTCATTTGAAGTTTCTTCTCAAAGTCTTGGGCTCGTAAACAAAATTTCCAAGAAACAACTCGTCTCAATTTTATCTGAAGGAACCCAACTAAATGATTATAAAGAAAAATAATGTTTTTCTTCAGATTATAATGAAAATATATGGCTATAATAATATTTATTGGGAAGCGCTAAATCTGCAGGGGTTATATACCACCTGGAAAAAGTAGATAATAATTTCTTGGACATGGATAATATTGCACAGTTGAAGTGTTTAGAGAAGCCAACTTATAATAGACTTGTGTATAGATAGATAATTTCAAAGATAGATAATTACAAGTAACAAAATAAGGTACACAGTACAGCTCTTAGACTCTCTTAGAATTTATTAACAACTCTAAGGTCGGTCGTATCAAAACGAGTGATTTAGAAGATGATTGCATCAAAACGAGTGATTTAGAAGATGATTGCATCAAAACGAGTGATTTAGAAGATGATTGCATCAAAACGAGTGATTTAGAAGATGATTGTATTAAAACAAGTGATTTAGAAGATGATTGTATTAAAACAAGTGATTTAGAAGATGATTGTATTAAAACAAGTGATTTAGAAGATTGTATCAAAACAAGTGATTTAGAAGATGATTGTATCAAAACAAGTGATTTAGAAGATGATTGTATCAAAACAAGTGATTTAGAAGATGATTGCATCAAAACAAGGGATTTAGAAGACAGTTCAGTAGTGCCCTGGTATCCATGGGGATACCTGGAGTTTACCTGGAGAGAGTTTCGGGGGTCAACGCCCCCGCGGCCCGGTCTGAGACCAGGCCTCCTGGTGGATCAGAGCCTGATCAACCAGGCTGTTGCTGCTGGCTGCACGCAAACCAACATACGAGCCACAGCCCGGCTGATCCGGAACTGACTTTAGGTGCTTGTCCAGTGCCAGCTTGAAGACTGCCAGGGGTCTGTTGGTAATCCCCCTTATGTGTGCTGGGAGGCAGTTGAACAGTCTCGGGCCCCTGACACTTATTGTATGGTCTCTTAACGTGCTAGTGACACCCCTGCTTTTCATTGGGGGGATGGTGCATCGTCTGCCAAGTCTTTTGCTTTCGTAGTGGGTGATTTTCGTGTGCAAGTTCGGTACTAGTCCCTCTAGGATTTTCCAGGTGTATATAATCATGTATCTCTCCCTCCTGCGTTCCAGGGAATACAGGTTCAGGAACCTCAAGCGCTCCCAATAATTGAGGTGTTTTATCTCCGTTATGCGCGCCGTGAAAGTTCTCTGTACATTTTCTAGGTCGGCAATTTCACCTGCCTTG